AACAATGACTGTCTGTGACATGGACATTCGTCTTAGGTCATACAAATATCTTCGTACCATGACGTGATGTGTTATAATGTTTGTAGTCTTGGGGTTTCGTGGTTTGAAAGAAAGCTGATTTGTAAAAACGTAGGATCACCGAACCAGTGTGTCTTTGTCAACCTGGAACACTCGGGAAACCCACAGAAGGTTGCACAAAGCTGTTTCACTGATAAGCCCTGTCATTATTACAGAGCGTCCCATTGCAGATTCCTCCATGATATAGAAAAACCTATCCAACCAATATTGCGTCCAAGTACACCACCAACCATTATCTTTGTTGATAACTCCAATACGTGTAAACAAACTGAACTCTGTTATATGCCTCCTCCAATACCAGCTGCTCACAAATGCTGTATTTAGGTTGTGAAAAGTATGGATGAATGTCCCGGGAGAAAAAAACAGTTTGAACAATCCGCCTGTGCCTTGATATGTGCCATCTGGCCATTTGTGGTGAGGCTGCTGACTGTAAGAACTGTGAGCACAGACCCACTTGTGTATGTCCACCAGGCCACAACCGGCCACATCAACACGCAAGGTGCATGGCCTTTCTATGAGATTCCACTTACCCACGTCAATGGCAGGTACTACAGTCCTACCGCATGGTGGAACCAGTAATACAACAGCAGTCTTTCATCTCCTGCTCCTTCAACCTCTAGCCTGTACTGTCCACAACAAGACCACCAGAACAACTAGTCCAAGACCCACCTCCTCTACCAAATTATTCCACCTTTAGTCATTGCTTGTGAGAATACTGATGACTGAGCTTCAGACAATTCATGTTTCAACAACCCTTTGTTATGATTGTGGTTAGTCTTGGACTTTTGTGGAGGACGACGCAGATAGTTGTAAAAATTGCAGCCATCGTCCAGTTTTGTGCTGTCATCCAGGAACCACAGTGAGATCTTTACATGAATGTATTTCTATTATTGCTTGAAATGCCGGTTCGGCCCAAGAGCCTCCCATGGCTGAAAATTATTACCAATCAAGCCTGGGTGAACCAGTACTTCAGTAAACTGGACTAACAAGCCCTGTTCGTGCACCCCACTGCGTTGAGCACAAGTCCAAGACCCACACTACCTCCAGTGACATTGCCACACACCACCCACCCTGGTCCCCCTTCCTGTAGGATGTGAAAGTTCTGACGAGTTGTCCATTTGATAATTCCTGTGTTAATAAATACTGTTTTGACATTTGTCATTCCTGGGTTTCTTGTGGAGAAATGCAGCTGTCAGGACAGTTGGACACCCGTCCCACTTGCACGTGGTCCAGTTAGGGACACCACAGGCAATCCAAATGTCAAGTGCTCAGCTCTTGCTGTGGATGTGGATGATTTTCTAGTCCAGTCCGTTGCCCTCCAATTGTTGGGACAGGCCTCCTGAGAGGCGCACCCATCCATCCAATAACTGGTCCCCACAGCCCAGGAACTTTCCTTCCACTGGTAGAGGAGCCCCCAAAACGTCCACAACAGAACCACCTGTTAAACGATCCTCCTCACCTGTGATAGTTCCTTGTACCTGTTGCTTGTTGAGAACAATGATGCTGTGACAATGGACAATTCATGCTTAAACATGATGTGTTATAATGTTTGTAGTCTTGGGGTTTGTGAGTGAAGAAGCTGATTGTAAAACTGTAGATCACCGACAGTGTGTCTTTGTCAACCTGGAACAACGGGAAAACCCACAAGAAGGTTTGCAAAGCTGTATTCAGCTGGAAAGCCTGTTCATTATTACAGAGCGTCCCATTGCAGTACATTACTTCTAGATATAGAAAAACCTATACTCAACCAATTGTTGGTCCAAGTACACCACCCCATTACCTTTAGTTGAAACTCCAATAAGTGTAACAACAGAAACCTCCTGTTACATTGCTCTGCAATACCCAGCTGCTCCACCAAATGCCGTAGGTTGTGAAAGTACTGTTTTGATGAAATGTCCGGATGAAAAACGTTGCATCAATTCGCTGGCATGGATATGTGGCAATCCTGGCCTTTGTGAGTTTGAGGCTGCTGACCTTTGTAAGACTGATGGTGCCACCCTGACCCACTTTGTGTAGTCCACCAGGCACAAACGGCAATCCAACACACAAGTGCATGGCTCTTTCTACTGAGATTCCCACTTTACCCACAGTCAATGGCAGGTACTACAGTCTTACCGCCTGGTGAACCTAGTAGGCCACCACATCCCACCTAATACCAAACTCAGGTCTCTCATTCTCCTGCTCCTCCACCTCTAGCATGAACTGTCAACAACAAGACCACCAGAACCAACTAAGTCCAAGGACCACCTCCTCTACCAAAGTATTCCACTTTTTGTCATTGCTTGTGAGAATAATGATGACTGGCTTCAGGACAATTCATGTAGCAAAACCTTTGTATGATGTTTGTAGTCTTGGAACTTTTGTGGAGACGACGCAGAGTTGTAAAATTTGCAGCCATCGATCCCAGTTTGTAGGCTGGTTCCTCCAGTGAACCACAGGAGATCCTTTACATGAATGTATTTCGTACTTGCTTGAAAAGGCCTATTGGGCCCAGAGCTCCCATGGCTGAAATTATGCTATCAAGCTGGGGGACCCAATTTATATCCATAACTGGACCAACAAGTCCTGGTGCACCACCAATGGTGAACACCAAGTCCCAGACCAATCTCTCCTCCGGTGACATTGCCCCCACCACCACCCACACCTGGTCCCCTTCCTGTAGGATGTGAATGTCTGACGAGTGTCCCTCCGTATTCCTGTATAACAAATCTGCATTAATGTTTGTTACCCAGGGTTTTTGTGGTGATTATGCTGACTTGTATACTACTGATCATCGTCCCTCTTGCAAATGCCCAGAGGGGACTATCTGTGGGTAACCCAACACTTAAAAAAAAAAAAAAAAAAAAAAAAAAAAAAAAATAAAAAAAAAAAAAAAAAAAAAAAAAAAAAAAAAAAAAAAAAAAAACAAAAAAAAAAAATGTTTCAGTCTTGCGCGGTGGATGGACCAGTTCCACTCCCTCCTCCAGTTGTTGAAGGACAGTGCCTCCTGCAGAGAGATAAACCATCCATCCCATCACGGGCCACACAACCCCAGGACTTCCTACGCTGGTAGAGGAGCCAAAACGCCAAAACCTACAGAGCCACCTGTCTCACGACCTCTATTCCACCTGTGATTTAGTTCCTATACCAGTACCTGTTCTTGTGAGAATAATGATGATTGTGCATGGACAATTCATGTCTAAACATGATGTGTTATGGGTTTGTAGTCTTGGGGTTTGTGCATGAAAAAAGCTGATTGTAAAAATGTAGATCACAGACCAGTGTGTCATGTCAACCTGGGACAAGGGAAATCCACAAGAAGGATGCATAGCCATAGCAACAGAAAAGACACTCATATTATTGCACATCTTCCTGTTGGTGACATTAGTCATGTATAGAAATACCTATCAACCCAGTTACTGGTCCAACTACACATGCCACTATCACCACTCACTGATAGTTCCAATACCTGCAACTACAGAACCCCTGGTTCACTGCCTCCTGCAGTGCCAATTACTACCACCAAATGCTGTAGGTTGTGTTAGCAGTGTATGACTGCATCCAGTAGAAAAAACAGCTGTATCAATCGGCTCTGCCTGATGTATGTCACCCTGGTTTTTGTGGTGAGGCTGCTGACTGCAAGACCGTGGATCACCGACCCACCTGTGTATGTCCACCAGGCACAACTGGCAATCAAAGACAGGTGCATGGCTGTTTGCTACTGAGAAATCCGTTACTCACAGTCAATGGCAGGTACTACAGTCCTGCCATTCTGGTGAACCCATATGGAGTAGTAAGTAAGTAATACCAACAATAGGTCTTTTATCTTCCTGTCCTCCACCTCTAGCTGAACTACCAAGCAACAAAACACCAGAAACAAACTAGTCCAAGACCACTTCTCCAGTAATTCCTCCTTCTTGTCATAGCTTGTAAGAATAATGATGAATTGTGCTCTGGACAATTCATGTATCAACACCTCTTCTATGATTGTGGTGTAGTCTCCTGGCGTTTGTGGAAGATGTTGCAAGAGTGCAAAATTTCCAACCACGTCCCAGTTTGTAAACTGTCCCTCAGGAAACAACAGGAGATCCTTTGCATGAGTGTGTGTCTTTAGTTGCAGAAAAAACTATCAGTCTACAGCCTCCTATAGCAGAAAAATTATGCCAACCCAGCCCTGGTGACCCAGTTACATCCAATAAATGGAACCAAACAAGTTCCTGGTGCACCACCACTGGCTGAAACACAAGGCTAGACCCCACACTTGCCTCCAGTGACCACTACCACCACCACACCCACACCTGGTCCCCTGCCTGTGGGCATGGTGAAAGTTCTGATGAGAGTGGTCCATTCGATAATTCAGTGTCAAAACAAATACTGTTTTGAACATTTGTCATCCTGGTTTTTTGTGGAAGAAAATTGCAGGACTGTCAAACAATTGGACACCGTCCCACTTGCACCTGTCCTGAAGGAAAACCACAGGCAATCCAAATGTCAAGTGTATTCCTCAGCTCTTTGTGTTGACTTTTTATACCAATTCCACTCCTTCCTCCAGTTGCTGAGGACAGGCCTCCTGCTGAGGAGAGATAACCCATTCATCCAATTGTAGATTCCCACAACATGGACTTCCTCCTACTGGCAGAAGTGCCAAAGACCCTTCTTTTTTTAAATCAGAGCCACCTGTTTCAAACGACCATCCTCACCTAACTGGTTGTTCCACCGGAATTATGCATGTGAGGAATAATGATGAATGTAGATAGTTGATTCTTTGCATCAATATGCTGTGTTATGATTCGTGCAGCCTTAACTTGTGGTGTCGAAGATGCTTACTGTCAGAGCTTTCAACCATAGACCGTTTGTGTGTGTCTTGGGAACTACTGGAGATCCTCGATTAGCTGTTAAAGCTATTACTACTGAAAGGATTACTGTTCTTCATCCTTTGACAGAAAAGTCCGCTGGCAACAAGATGATATTTCCATACGTCCTCTTTCTGGTCCAACTTCGAAATGGACACCTCCGATTGAGACACCTCCATCCAGTAGACCACCAGAGTTGACCTCCAGCCCCACCTGCCCCAGTGCCAACACCTCCACCTATTACTTTGTAGGGATGTGAAAGTAATATCACTTGTCCCTATGATAATACTGTGGTAAATCGGTATTGTCTTACATGTGCACTCTGGTCTGTGTGGAGAGAATGCTGACTGTAGAACTATTGGTCATTAAGACCATCATGCTTTTGTCTTCCTGGAACAATGGGTAACCCAACAGAACACTGCAGTTGCTCTGATGACTGAAAGACCCTAAGCACGGTTATCCCTATGTCGCAGTTGTTGCACACCCACCAGATGATCCCTCCTATCACTCCAGTGCAAGTCCTACACTACCCACTTCACCCAATGGCAGAGATTCTAACAATCTACACCACATGAACAACCTCTGCCACCACCTCTGCCCAATCCAATTGTACCAGAAATTGCAATTGCCTGTCAAAAATATGATGACTGCAATATGGACACAACTCTTGTATAACAACCTTTGTTATAGATGTGTGTAGCCTTGGTGTATGTGAAGACATCCTTAGATGTAAATGAAAACAATCGTTCCAGTGTGTAGTGTCCTCCAGGAAACAACTGGAATTCCTTCAACAGCGTGTGTCGTCTGTTACCACCACAGAAAGGCCTATCAGCCTACATCCTCCCATAGCAGGAAGAAAGAAATTAGAAATTTGCCAACCCAGGCCTGGGGACCCAGTACATCCAATAAACTGGTCCGACAAGTCCCTTGGTTGCACCACACCATGGACCGCAACTGAAATCCAAGCCCCAGACCCACATCTACCTCCAGTGACCCTACCACCACCACCACCACCACCACCCACACCTGGTCCCCTGCCTGTGGGATGTGAAAGCTCTGATGAGTGTCCATTTGATAACTCCTGCATCAACAAACTCTGTTTTGACATATGTCATCCTGGTTTATTGTCGGAAAAAATGCAGACTTCAAACTGTTGGCCACCGTTCCCACTTGCACCTGTCCAGCGGGAACCATAGGGAATCCTAATATCAAGTGCTCAGCTCTTGCTGTGGATACACCAGTTTCACTCCCTCCTCCAGTTGTTGGAGACACACCTCCTGCAGAGGAGAATAACATTCCATCCCCATTGCAGTTTCTACAGCCCCAGGGACTTCCTCCTCTGGTGGGAGGTGCTAGCCCAAGCACCCACCTACAGAAACCACCTGTCCACACGACCTCCTTTTACCTTCCCTTACTTCTTCTATTTCGGTTAGGCATGATGGAAATAATGATGATTGTGATTTTGATAAACACTGCCTTAATTTGCTTGCTATGAGCATGCTGTTTGGGGATTTGTTGGTGAATCTTGCAGATTGCGTAAACTGTTAGTCATATAGACCTGTGTGTCTTTGCCCTCTGGCACAACTGGAAAATCCACAAATCAGTGCAAAGTTTACTTTTGGAAAGTTCAACAAAGTGCCTCCTTTTGCCGAGGTGCCGCTTACACCTCAAGAAGTCCAATTCGTCCAATTCAGATACAACTTCGCGACCCCCACCAATTTGCTAGAAATGCCTCATCGTTAGACTCCCAGTGCCGACCACTTCTCATCCAAAACTTTGAATTCCCTTCACCACCTCCAAATCATAGTTGGATGTGAGAAGAAGAATGATCCAACTGCAACTTCGACACTCCTCCTGCAATCAATCGTCTCTGCACGGACATCTGTATCCTGGCGTTGTGTGGCAAGAATGCTCGAATGCCATACAATTGGTCATCGATCCGATATGTTTATGTCAGCTGGTACCACAGGTAACCCCCACACAGGGTTATTGTCTCTCTTTAGGTAAAGTAACAGAGACAACCTCTGAATGAATTACCTATAAAAGGAACACCTCACCTCTCCAGAGTATTGATCTCCACATCCTTCACTGGGCCAGTCCCACAATGCCACTTCATCCATTAGCCTGAGCACATACAACAAGCCTATAAAACCCACAACAACGCCCCCTATACCACCTCCAATTTGTCCCCTCCATTGCAATTTGCATGTGGAACAGTGATTGACTGTACAATGGATAATTCCTGCATCAATAATCTCTGTTATGATGTATTGAAGCCTTGGAATTTGTGGCGAATGACGCAGAGTGTAAAATGGATCTTCATCGTCCAGTTTGTAGCTGTCCTCCAGGAACAACAGGAGATCCTTTGCATGAATGTGTGTCTTTACTCGCAGAAACAACTATCAGCCCACAGCCTCCTATAGCAGAAATTATTCCAACCAGCCTGGTGACCCAGTCATCCAATAACTGGTGACCGACAAGTCCTTAGTGGCCACCCACCATGGCTGAACCTCCAAGCCCCAGACCAAACACCAACCTCCAGTGACACTGCCGCCACCACCACCACCCACACCTGGTCCCCTGCCTGTGGGATGTGAAAGTTCTGGTGAGTGTCCATTCAATAATTCATGTGTCAACAAATTATGTTTTGATATATGTCATCCTGGATTTTGTGGAGAAAATGCCAATTGTGCAAAACAGGTGGACACCGTCCCCACTTGATCTGTTTCCAGTAGGAACCACACGGGCAATCCTAACATCAAGTGTTCAGCTCTTGCTGTGGATACACCAGTTCCTCTCCCTCCAGTTGTTGGAGACAGACCTCCTGCACAGGAGATAATCATCAATCCAGTCACTGGTCCCACAGCCCCAGGACTTCCTCCACTGACAGAGGAGCCAAAACACCCACCTACAGAGCCACCCATCACACGACCTCCTCCACCTGTGATAGTTCCACTACCTGTAGCTTGTGAGAACAATGATGATTGTGACATGGACAATTCATGTCTAAACATGATGTGTTATGAAGTTTGTAGTCTTGGGGTTTGTGGTGAAAAATCTAATTGTAGGATAATCAGTCACAGACCTGTATGCCTTTGCCAACCTGGAACAACTGGAGATCCACAAGAAGGCTGTAGAGCTATTTTAACTGAAAGACCTATCATCGTTGCTGAACGCCCCCCCCTGAACGTGCTGAACGTCCCATTGCTGACATAACTCTAGACAGAGAACAACCTATACAACCAGTTGTTGGTCCAAGTACACCCCCACCATTACCGCTAGCTGAAGCTCCAATACCTCATACTACGGAACCTCCTGCTCCACTGCCTCCTCCAATACCAACTGCACCTCCAAATGCCGTAGGTTGTGTTAGTAGTGATGATTGTCCAGTTGAAAACAGCTGCATCAATCGCCTCTGTTTGGATATATGTCATCCAGGTTTTTGTGGGGAAGCAGCTGATGTAGGACTGTGGGACACCGCCCTTCTGTGTTGTGTCAACCAGGCACGAACTGGCAATCCAACAGAGAGAGAGTAGGTGCATGGCTCTTGCTACTGAGATAGCTGTTACCCACAGTCCAATGGCAGGTATAACAGTTTCCTCTGGTGAGCCAGGTAATTTTACCAGCATCAGGTCCTTCATCTCCTACACGATCCTCCTCTAGCTGAACCACCAAACAAGAAGACCGCCGGAACAAACTAGTCCAAGACCACCACCTCTACCAATTATTCCACCTCTTGTCATTGCCTGTTAGCGAGAAACAATGATGAACTGTGACTTCAGACAATTCTTGTATCAACAACCTCTGCTATGATGTGTGTAGCCTGGGGTTTGTGGAGATGATGCCAGAGTGTGTAAAATTGCCAAACATCGTCCAGTTTGTTTTGTAACTGTCCTCCAGGGAACAACCAGGAGATCCTTTACGCGAATGTGTGTCTTTAGTTGCAGAAAAAACCTATCAGTCTAAAGCTCCAATAGCAGAAATTATGCCAAACCAGGGCCTGGGGACCCAGTTAACATCCCAATAACTGGCACCAAACATAGTACACTGGTGCAACACACTGTCGCTGCCTGAAATACTCAAGGACTAGTACCCCCACTGCCTCCAGTGACACTACCACACCACCAACCACCACCCACACCTGGTCCCCTGCCTGTGGGGATTGTGAAAGTTTCTGATGATTTGTCCACTCGATAACTCCTGTGTAAACAACTTTTGTTTGACATTTGTCATCCTGGTTTATTGTGGAGGAAAATGCAGACTGTGAAACGGTTCGTACACCCATCCTACTTGCACTGTCCATTAGGAACCACATGCAATCCAAATGTGTCTCAACCGTGCCCTCAGCTCTTGCTGTGGATTGATCCTAGTACAATTCCTCCTCCAATTGTTGGAGACAGCCTCCTGCAGATGAGAAGCCATCCATCCAATAAACTGGTCCACAGCCCAGGGACTTCCTCCCGTGGTAGAGGAGCCAAAACGATCCAAACAAACCACCCAGAACCGCCTGTCACACGTCCTCCTCCACCTGTGATAGTTCCTCTAGTACATGGTTGCTTGTGAGGAACAATGGGGATGATTGTGACATGGACAAAAACTCATTTTTTGTTTTCTTTTTGTAATATTTCAAAGGCTTTTGTTTCTAAATTTTTTTTTATTTGATGTCTGTAGCCTTGGCATTTGTTGGTGGAAAAAAGTGTGGAAAAAAAAAGCTGAAATGTGTGAGTTATAAAATCACAGACCAGGTGTCTTTGTTATCCGGAACAAAGCTGGAGACCACAAGAAGGCTTGTAGAGCTATTTCAACTGAAAAAACCTGTCATAACTACTGAGCCACCCCATTGCTGACATAACTGTTGATTTAGATTAGAGAAAAAACCTATACTCCCATGTTGTTGTCGTCCAAAGGGGGTAATCCCCCCACCATTACCGCTGAGCCCTGAAGCTCCAATACCTCACATACGGAAACCTCCCGCCCACTGCCTCCTCCAATTACCAACTGCACCTCCAAATTGCCGTAGGTTGTGTTAGTAGTGATGACTGTTCCAGTTGAAAAACAGCTGCATCAATCGCCTCTGTTTTGGTATATTGTCATCCTGGTTTTTGTGGTGAACAGCTGACTGTAGGACTGTGGGGACACCCGCCCTTCTTGTGTGTGTCCACCAGGTACGGACTGGCAAATCCAACAGAGAGGTTGCATGTACTCTTGCTACTGAGATAGCTGTTACCCACAGTACCAATGGCAGGTTTTTAATAACAGTCTTACCTCCTGGTGAGCCAGTATAATACCAGCATCAGGTCCATTCATCTCCTACAGATCCTCCTTCTAGCTGAACCACCAAACAAGAAGACCGCCTCTGAAACCAATAGTCCAAGAACCACCACCTTACCAATTATTCCCACTCTTGTCATTGCCTGTGGAGTACAATGATGACTGTGATTCAGACATTTCTTGTATCAAACAACCTCTGCTATGATGTGTGTAGTGCTGGGGGTTTGTGGAGTATGCAGAGTGTAAAATTGCCAAACATTCGGGTACAGTTTTGTAAACTGTCCTCCAGGAACAACAGGAGATCCTTTACGCGAATGTGTGTCTTTAGTTGCAGAAAAACCTATCAGTCTAAAGCCTCCAATAGCAGAAATTATGCCAACCCAGCCTGGGGACCCAGTACATCCAATAACTGGACCAACAAGTCCTGGGGGCCCCACCACTTTTGAACACTAAAGGGCCCCTAGACCCACACTGCCTCCAGTGACACTACCACCACCACCACCCACACCTGGTCCCCTGCCTGTGGGATGTGAAAGTTCTGATGATTGTCCATTCGATAACTCCTGTGTAAACAAACTTTGTTTTGACATTTGTCATCCTGGTTTATGTGGAGAAAATGCAGACTGTGAAACGGTTGGACACCGTCCTACTTGCAACTGTCCATTAGGAACTACAGGCAATCCAAATGTCAAGTGTTCAGCTCTTGCTGTAGATGCACCAGTTCCTCTCCATCCTCCAGTTGTTGGAGACAGGCATCCTATAGAGCAGATAATCATCCATCCAATCACAGGTCCCACAGCCCCAGGACTTCCTCCTCTGGCAGAGAAACCAAAACATCCTACTACAGAGCCACCTCTCACACGACCTCCACCACCTCCGATAGTTCCTCTAGTACCTGTTGCTTGTGAGAACAATGATGATTGTGACATGGACAACTCATGTTTGAATCAGCTTTGTTATGATGTCTGTAGCCTTGGCATTTGTGGTGAAAAAGCTGAATGTGTGAGTATAAATCACAGACCAGTGTGTCTTTGTTATCCCGGAACAACTGGAGATCCACAAGAAGGCTGTAGAGCTATTTCAACTGAAAAACCTGTCATAACTACTGAGCACCCCATTGCTGACATAACTGTTGATAGAGAAAAACCTATACACCCAGTTGTTGGTCCAAGTACATCCCCACCATTACCGCTAGCTGAAGCTCCAATACCTCACACTACGGAACCTCCTGCTCCACTGCCTCCTCCAATACCAACTGCACCTCCAAATGCCGTAGGTATGTGTTAGTTTTGTGATGAATGCCCAGGTTGAAAACAGCTGCATCAAATCGCCTCTGTTTGGATATATAGTCATCTGGTTTTTGTTGGTGAAGAAGCTGGACTGTAGGACTGTGGCGGGGACCACCGGACCCTTCTTGTGTTAGTGTCCACCAGGCACGGACATGGCAATCCAACAGAGGAGAGGTCATGGCTCTTGTACTGAGATAGCTGTTACCACAGTTTCAATGGCAGGTGGTTATAACAAGTCTTTATCTCCTGGTGAGCCAGTAATACCAGCATCAGGTCTCCTTATCTCCTACAGATCCTCCTCTAGCTGAACCACCAACAAGAAGGACCGCCTTTGAACCAACTAGTCCAAGACCACCACCTCTACCAATTATTCCACCTCTTGTCATTGCCTGTGAGAACAATGATGACTGTGCTTCAGACAATTCTTGTATCAACAACCTCTGCTATGATGTGTGTAGTCTGGGGGTTTGTGGAGATGATGCAGAGTGTAAAATTGCCAAACATCGTCCAGTTTGTAACTGTCCTCCAGGAACAACAGGAGATCCTTTACGCGAATGTGTGTCTTTAGTTGCAGAAAAACCTATCAGTCTAAAAGCCTCCAGTAGCAGAAATTATGCCAACCCAGCCTGGGGACCCAGTACATCCAATAACTGGACCAACAAGTCCTGGTGCACCACCACTGGTTGAACACTCAAGGCCTAGACCCACACTGCCTCCAGTGACACTACCACCACCACCACCCACACCTGGTCCCCTGCCTGTGGGGATGTGAAAGTTCTGATGATTGTCCATTCTATAACTCCTGTGTAAACAAACTTGTTTTGACATTTGTCATCCTGGTTTATGTGGAGAAAATGCAGACTGTGAAACGGTTGGACACCGTCCTACTTGCAACTGTCCATTAGGAACTACAGGCAATCCAAATGTCAAGTGTTCAGCTCTTGCTGTAGATGCACCAGTTCCTCTCCATCCTCCAGTTGTTGGAGACAGGCATCCTATAGAGCAGATAATCATCCATCCAATCACAGGTCCCACAGCCCCAGGACTTCCTCCTCTGGCAGAGAAACCAAAACATCTACTACAGAGCCACCTCTCACACGACCTCCACCACCTCCGATAGTTCCTCTAGTACCTGTTGCTTGTGAGAACAATGATGATTGTGACATGGACAACTCGTGTCTAAATCAGCTTTGTTATGATGTTTGCAGCCTTGGCATTTGTGGCGAAGACGCTGATTGTAAAACACTGAACACCGGCCAGTGTGTTTGTGCCCACCTGGAACAACAGGGAATCCTCAAGTAATATGCTCTTCTCTTGTCACTCTCCCGCCAGAAACTGTTGGACCAATACCTGGGATAACTTCAGTTCCTCCTAGCGAGCCTGTGTTGCCAATTGCTGCATCTACTGAGGTCCCTCTCCCTCCGCTAGTGTCCATGCCTCCGGTTCACCCTGCTCTGCCAGAGCCTCCTGTTATTCCCTTTGTACCAACTCCTCCCCTCTTCCCACTGGCTGCTCCAGCAATGATGAGTGCCCATTTGATAATACTTGTGTTAACCAGCTATGCTTTGATGTGTGTTATCCTGGATTGTGTGGTCATAATGCTAATTGTCAGACAAACAGAACATCGACCTGCTTGTGTGTGTCCTAAGGGCACCACTGGCAACCCTACTATAGCCTGTATAGCTTTGGTCACAGAAAGCTCAGTTGAGCCTCTACCCCCATTGGTTCATTCTACTCCCCACCCACCCGAAGATATCATGGTGCCCATCCTTCCACCAACAACGCCAAGGCCTCCACCACTAGTAGTGATGCCCACTACAACACCTGAACCTTTACCACCTAGGCCTCCAATAACTCCTATTCTACCCCCATTGTTATTGCATGCCAGAACAATGATGAATGTCTGCAGACAACTCTTGCCTGAACCACATCTGTTATGATGTCTGTTCTCTAGGCATCTGTGGTGAGAATGCTGAGTGTCAGATCTTTAATCAACGTCCAGTTTGTGAGTGCCCCACTGGTACTAGAGGCAATCCTACAGAGGGCTGCCAGGCAATACATATGGAGCACACAACGCTGGCCATGCCCACCAAGGAACCCCCATCACCAGTTGTAGATGTATCAGTCATACCAGTGGCAGCCCCTGACCACACTACTCCACTACCACTGTTTGAGCTGAGCAGTCCTAGGCCCTCTCCACCACCCTTTGTTACGCCGCCTCTTCCACCAACAGCTCCACCTTTTCCAGTTGGCTGCCAAAGTGCAGACGAGTGCCCATATGACAATTCATGTGTTAACCAACTCTGTCTCGACATATGTTATCCAGGCCTGTGTGGTGAAAAATGCTGAATGTCAGACAAGAGCACATAAGATAGAATGCAAGTGCCCACCTGGGACCACTGGGAACCCAACTCTCAAGTGTTCTGCATTATCCGTGCTCCAGCCCACTATACCACAAGCCTCCAATTAGTGGGGCTCACACCCCACTGTCACAGCAACCTCTGCAACCCATAGCTGCTCCAGACTCTACTACACCCTCACCAATGGCAGAGGTAACCACCACCAGGTCACCCGAGCCTTTTATTCCTGTCCACCCACCTCCGCCATCATCCCACCAATATTAATAGCCTGTGAGAACAATGATAATTGTGACATAGACAACTCTTGCATTAACCTACTGTGCTACCCTGTTTGCTCTTTGGGAATTTGTGGAGAAAATGCAGAATGCAAATCCCTGGACCACCGAGCAGTGTGTATATGTCCCAGCGGAACTACGGGCAACCCACAGCATCATTGTCAGGCACTTGTGACAGAGGTGCCTCCCACCCTGCCACCACCTTTCAAGGAGATTCACCCACAACCCAAGGAACCCATCATGCCTGTGGCAGCCCCCACCTCGCCCACACATCCTCCATTGGTGCTGACACAGCCACCACAGGTGACAGAGCCACCTGCTTTCCCCCTGCATTACCAGTCACTGATGGGCCTCTACCCATTGGGTGTACAACCAGTGGAGTGTGCGCGTTTGATGAGCAGTGTTACAACCGTCTTTGTGTTAAGGTATGCAGTGTGCAGCCATGCCAGACAGACTCTGAGTGTATTGCTCAGATGCACCAGGCTATATGTACCCCAGTTGTGGCTCTAACTGAGAAGCCTCAGTGTTTGCTGGATGAGCACTGCTTTCAAACCCCACAGGTGTGCCAGTGGTGTGTGTAGGGAGGTCTGCCTTACCACCAACCCCTGTGCCCCTATGGCTGTGTGCACCGCTCATAACCATCGACCCATATGTAATTGTCCTCCGGGTTATATAGGAAATCCCTTTGTGGCATGCCGCCGCCCAGAGCCACCCACCCCACCACCCTACCAGCCGCCCACCACTCCACAACCCGAATGCCTCGTGGATAACGATTGTGCTTACAACTTGGCATGTCTCAACCAGCAGTGCCAAGACCCATGCCAGAGCAGAGATGTATGTGGCTTCATGCTGAGTGCATAGTCACTGTTCACACACCAACATGTATGTGTAGTCCTGGCTACACTGGCAACCCATATGTAAGGTGCCGTCCACCCACTGCTCCCATCCTAACCCCAGCTCCACCCAGCCTCAAGCCTCAGTGCACTAGAAATGAGGACTGCCCTGCTGACCGTGCCTGCTACAGTGGCAGTTGCCAGAACCCGTGTGAGGTGGGCAAGCCTTGTGCACCTACAGCCCTCTGTGATGCCATCAGGCACCGCGCCCTGTTGTTCTTGTCCCAGAGGCATGAGCGGTGACCCCCATCTTCAGTTGCACCAGCAGTAAGATGTTTAGTGGCTTTGTCTTCCACTTCTTTGTCTTGTTCACGCATGCCAGAGCACGATGCATGTTTTCTCTTGTGCCTCTCATTTATTTCGTTTAGTCTGTGCTTATGCATATTTTTTAAGTTTGCATTGTTCATTTCTGCATCAAGGAGCCTGCATTGTTCAGTTGTGCATCACGAAAGCCTGCATCGTACGACCTGCATCGTTCATCTTTATAAACTGCATTTTAAACTGTTTGCATCAATGAAATTTGCATTGTTCAGCATCGGTAAACTATACTTAAGCTTTTCTACTCTATGATTATACATACTTCTTTGTGTGTGTGTGTATATATATATATATATACAGTATATGCAATTTATGGCCATTACAAAATTTATTAGAAAGCTTATTTAACTTAAGGATCAATCAAGCTCACCAATGCTCCATCCCTTCCAGGACCACTTAAAATATTAATGTCAGGTTGTAGAAATACTTGTGAGTATTTACATGAAGGTTTGGTAAGTGGGTCCAGGGAAAGAGAGTGTTGGTGGTACATTCCAGTGGTTTTTGTTAATTGTTTTCTTGCCTTGCTGCCCAGTCGAGGTGTCCATCCCACCCTAAATGTTTAGAGGTGAGCGGTGCAGCGGACACCTTGGTTTTGCATCAATGAGCACTGCCAAGACCCCCTGTGCCCTCTTGATAATGTCCCCCCAAAGCCGAGTGTATGTCATTCGTCATAGGGAGTTTTGTTCAGCCCCGCGGTTACTTTGGCAACCCAAACCCACCCATGTTTAGTGGGTAAGGTCGCCCCGTCAACCGTTTTACAGACCCAAAACTCATTTAACTAGTTTACCTTTCCCCTTTCCCAGTTTTTTTGGTTTTCCCGGGTTTTAATGTTCAGCAGAGCATGTTGGAAGTCCCAGTTTCACCAGGTAAATACGTCGTTCAGTACCCAGGTTACACGTTGTTCATCCCCAGGTTAACTGTATTTTTCAGTACCCAGGTTACACTGTATGTTCAGTCCCCCGGTTACACTGTATGTTCAGTCCCCAGGTTCACTGTATGTTGTCCCCAGGTTACACTGTATGTTCGTACCGGTTACACTGTATTTTCAGTACCCAGGGTACACTTTTCCCCGGGTTACATTGTTCGTCCCCCAAAGTTACCTATATTTTCAGTACCCAGGAAACCTGTATTTTTTTAGTACCCACCTAGTATCTCTTCACTTGCAAGAGCTGCGTGCCTACCCTCTTGACAGTAACTTAGCCCATACCCTGAATCCACAGCATCCTTTTCAGAATAAAAACATTGTATACTTATCTCTCTGCCCCCACAACTATTTTCGGTATTGTGAAAAAACTTTAAACCCAGAGTGTGAGCCTGTTTATGTTTTTCATAGTAGACTGTGTGTCCAGTTTTCCCTTGATAGTAACTGTTCCAGTGTACACTGACAGAAAAATTATTATAACTGTTGACTTTAAAATATTCAAACAGTTGTTGACTTAAATATTTTGTAAAAACTGTTGACTTAAAATATTATATATTTGAGAAAATTACAAAGGTTAATGCACTGCCCAGTCAATGTATATACTGTATTAAGAAACTAATGACTGAAAAAAAATATTAACAACCCTCTGACCTTTAAACCACGCAAAGACCTTTTTAAAAAGTTTTATTACTTGTGCTGTATATTATGTAAACAATTCACTGACTTACATGAGGCTAGCACACACACACTTGCTTACTCTTACCTCTCTCACTCCACTCTCTCTTTTACATTACTTTCACACATATACCTTGCACCATGCACATATTAAAGTACCATGACACGTCCATCCATCCACAAAAAGGTAACTAAGTTATTTGGGGGTCCACAAGACACAACATTTTCCCCTGGGAAGGATAACTAAGAATATTTGGTGGTTTACGCTGGGTGTCGTCAAATTCGGAGTGTCCGTGCTCCATGCCTGCTCAACAGGAGTGTGAAGAAACCCTGCAAGTTTGAGAAGTGTTTTGGCCTCAATGCTGAATGCGCTCTCTAACCAGAGAGCCAAAATGCTCTGTCCCGAAAGCTTGTTGGTAAGGCCCCGAGATGCTCTCGGAAGTGTCTTGGAGTTGGGAAGTTCTCCCTGTTCTGAGAATATTCTTGGAAGTTCCTTGTTCTGGTACTGTCCAGCTCTTTAACCCGTAACCGGCCAAGCAGATCTACGTTACATGCGTAGTGCTCCAGAGTAGATCTAGTTTTTTTACATATTTTTTTCCCAAAAAATAACAAAAAAAAGTAGATTTTAAAGTTTTTACACTTTTCAAATGTACAAAAAAAAAAAGATTCATACATTACGTGGACCCCCGCATAACGGAGCCTTGCATAAAGGACAATCCCCCATACGGGGCGCGTAAAAATTTTGCCCCGATCCGCCAAAAACCCGCTCGGGCCTTCGTCCGAGACGCGTCCCCCAAAGTGCGGGGCCCGAGCCAGCCCCCATATTTCCCCCGGGGGCATTATTTACCAGCCCCGCCCCCGGGGAACATTCAAGCTTTTCAATCGGAATATTTGTATTATTACAGTGTTTTTTGGTTGGTTTCTGGAAAAAAAAAGTGACCCTGGGCCCCAAGAAAAACTTTTGTTCCAACCCTATAGCAATAAGGGGTTAGAATTCCTAAGAAATGAAGAAAAAGATCATTGATAAGATGAAAGTGGAGTGCGTTCAGACCTGGTCAGGTTTGTACAAAAAAACCCAATCAACCCTTCTTTTTTGGGCCAAGAAAACGGCAATCAAGGAAACTGTTTTTTGCCAAGTTTAACTGTGTTTTCGAAACAAAGTCGCAAGTGATGGGAAGATGTTGAAGGGCTTTTGGTGTGGATAAAAAGAAAAAAAAACTAGCAGGGATAGCGTCCTCAAAACCCTCATATGTGAAAAAGGCTGGAAGTTGCATGAGGAAATTTAAATTAAAAAAAAAGGGCCCGCAATAGTATGTGTGAGGAAATTTTTGGCAGCAAAGGGTTGGGTTTGAGGTTTTTAAAAAGGCGTAGGATACGGCATGGGGAGGGGCCAGTTGGACCCCAAAGGGCTGAAAAAAAAATGTGAGGAATTAAGGAGTACATAGAAAATGAAGGGGACGAAACCTGAAAAAGTGTTTAATTGTGATGAAACAGGCCTGTTCTGGAAGAAAATGCCAAGCAGGACTACATTACTCAGAGGAAAAGGCACTCCCAGGACATAAGCCTATGAAAGACAGGCTTACTTTGTTGATGTGTGCCAATGCTAGTGGTGATTGCAAAGTTAAGCCTTTATTAGTGTATCACTCTGAAACTCCCAGAGCGTTCAGGCAAAAGAATGTCCTCAAGGATAATTTGTGTGTGCTGTGGAGATCAAACAGTAAGGCATGGGTCACTAGGGACTTTTTCTATAACTGGTTACACCATGCATTTGCCCCCAATGTCAAAGATTACCTAACTGAAAAGAAATTAGAACTTAAGTGCCTCCTGGTGTTAGACAATGCCCCTGGTCATCTACAGACGTGGCAGAGCGACTTTATGGGGACATGAGCTTCATTAAGGTGAAGTTTTTGCCTCCTAATACCTCTCCTCTCCTGCAGCCCATGGACCAGCAGGTCATTTCCAACTTCAAGAAACTGTACACAAAAGCTCTGTTTCAAAAGTGCTTTGAAGTGACCACAGACACTCGATTGACTCTAAAAGAGTTTTGGAAGGATCACTTTAATATCCTCAATTGTGTAAAACCTTATAGGTAAGGCTTGGGAGGGAGTGACTAAGAGAACCTTGAACTCTGCTTGGAAGAAACTGTGGCCAGAATGTGTAGACAAAAGGGATTTTGAAGGGTTTGAGGCTAACCCTGAGAGGAGTATACCAGTTGAGGAATCAATTGTGGCATTGGGGAAGTCCTTGGGGTTGGAGGTTAGTGGGGATGATGTGGAAGAGTTGGTGGAGGAGGACAATGAAGAACTAACCACTGATGAGCTGATAGATCAACTTCAAGAGCAAGAGGCCAGACCTGGGAAACTGGTTCAAAGGAGGGGAGAGAGAAATTGAAGGAATTGCCTACTTCAAAGATTAAGGAAATGTGTGCAAAATGGCTTGAAGTGCAAACCTTTTTTGATGAAAATCACCCTCACACAGCTATTGCAAGCCGTGCTGGTGACTGTTACAATGACAATGTTGTGAAACCACTTTAGACAAATCATAAAGGAACGAGAGGTACAGGCCACTATGGACAGATATGTTGTGCGAAAGAAGTCCAGTGACTCTGAAGCTGGTCCTAGTGGCATTAAAAGAAGAAGGGAAGTAACCCCAGAAAAGGACTTGCCTCCTCAAGTCTTAATGGAAGGGGATTCCCCTTCTAAACACTAACACTCTCTCTCCCCTCCTCCATCCCATCAATCATCACCAGATCTTCAATAAAAGTAAGTGTCATGTAATTGTGCATGCCTTTTTCAGTTTGTGTGTACTAAAATTAACATTTTTTTGTGGTAAAAAAATTTTTTTTTAATACTTTTGGGTGTCTTGCACGGATTAATTTTATTTCCATTATTTCTTATGGGGAAAATTCATTCACATACCGAACATTTCGCATAACAGCCAGCCCTCTTGCACGGATTAAGGTCGCTATGCGGGGGTCCACTGTATTTTCAAATGTTGAAAAACATATATATACGTTTGGATCGTTTACGGGTTAATAAGGTTAATTTGAAGTTTATGGATTGATGAAGTTAGTGACGGTGTGTCCACCTCCCAGGGTGACCCATACGTGCGGTGTGAGAGACCAGAGTGTACCAGTGACCCTGAGTGTCCATCATGGCTGGCCTGCATCTCCCAGGAGTGTCGAGATCCTTGTAACTGTGGACCAGGAGCCCAGTGTCGTGTCATCAACCACCGTCCATTGTGTACCTGCCCTCCAGACCATCAAGGAGACCCCAATGTTCAGTGTGTACCCAGTAAGTACTCTTCCTTCCCCTGCCCTCTACTGCTCCTCTCTTGTTATCTAACACTGATGTGTTTTAGTGATATTTAGCCACTTTGATAAGGCAAGTTTAGGGTGGTCAACTTTATTGCCCATAAGAGGAAGATAGCCAGAATGGGATTAAAACACTAGCATAAGCTTACTTCATTCACTTGCTCACTGATTACACAGATAAATATATTTAATCCCTTGGTGTATCAGTACTAAAAAACTGTATCATTGATTTTTCCTAAATTTGGCCCACTTCTGTAACCTTACTTCAGCAAAACTCACCATTCTTGCCATATTGCTATAACGTGGATTGTGGTGCCACAGAGCCAGCATTGGAACCATCGTACAAGGAGTGCCAGACAGATGGTGAATGCCCCAGCAAGATGGCATGCTTTGACGGCCGTTGTGATGACCCTTGCCAGGTGATCAATCCCTGCGGCACTAATGCCAAGTGCCATGTCATCGACACACTTCCCTTCAGGACGATGACCTGCGAGTGTCTGCCAGGCTTCACTGGCAATGCCTACGTTGAGTGCACATTACGTAAGACTTGAATGTTGCTGTGTCTGCTTAACACTAAATTACAGCATCTTGCTTCATTTTCATATATAAAGAGGCACAGGTTTTACCTCGGAATTTCCATGAAAACATAATGAATTACTGTACTTGCATTTCTCACATGTATTATAAAACGTGGTTTCAACTTACTCTCCTGTGCTAGTGATTGACTACAGCTGTAAATGTGAGGTCTTTGATAGCTAGTAGAATAACAGCACCTGTAGATATTAACTAGTTACTCAGTACTATATGTGCTTAATTTGTGTTCTCAGCATTGACAACTGAGCTCAACACATCATGAGTAAAATAATACTTAAATTCCTTATGGAGCTTACTTAAGTAGAGTCGTAGAGATGAGACACCTGTTAGATGTAATATTCTAGAAGCACCTGTTATACGTTACTACACTGCATCTACTCCTGCATTAACCCCACCACTTTTATTATCATTACAGATGAACTTGGAGATGCATCATTGCTCACTCTTGCCTCTCCCCAAGTTACCTTTCATGTTGTGTGTCATGTTTTTAGCTGCAGTGTTTCCCTGCCACTTTCCCCCCCCCCCTCCTCATTCTTTATTATAATTATCAGTTAACCAGCAGAACCCAACTCTTTCTCCATTTTTTCTTTATTTTTTTGTGTTGCTAGTTTTTTTAATTGTTAGAATTACGAAATTGTTGAATGTAGTCTCGTGCAATATTCAATCTCCACAACACTTTGTTGCACTATGATAGTAACTAGTAGACAAAATAAATACCTAGATGCAATACTTGTGATGGGATACTCTGAGTTGTGTTGTGTAGATACACCAGGTATACCCAGGTATACCCTGTGTTGCTTACATTCCTCGCCTCTGGTGTCAGGACCGACAGTGGAGCCAGGATGTACGACGGATGATGAGTGTCCTCCAACAGAAGTGTGTCGTAATAGACAGTGCCTTGACCCATGTGCCGTCCTCAATCCTTGTGCTCCCAATGCTGAGTGCCAGGTATGTGCTGCCATCTCCTGCCCTTCCCTGCCTTCTCTCCTTGTTGAAAAAATATAGTTTAGTACGTATTTTGGAGAAACTATAAATTCTTTCTAAAGCTTGACATTAATGCATTAAATTTTATACTCAAAGTGTACGTAATTGTTAAAAATATTAGATGACATTTATTGGACAAATTTTGAAAAGTCTCCAGTTGTGCCCTCATGTACAGTTGTATAAATAAGGTTAAATTAGTTGAGCAGTAAACTTAATAAAGCTATGTGGTCTCAAGATAAAATTATTAAATGTAATGATTATTTTCAGTGATACAAGTCTTTATTATATAATTGCATTGATAATTTTAGTTATAATTATTACTGGTTGCAGAAATATTGTGATAATACTGACTATAAATGATAACTGTAATCCAGAGAAGGAAGGTGTATCCACACTCTGTATTACGTGTTTATATTGCATTTACGTTAGTTTACCAGACAAGAATACCTTAATCCCTAAAATAGGGATCAAAATATTCTCACGGTGTATATATACACAGATATACACACACATCAATGTATGCAAAAATAACCATAGTGGAAAAAATGATGATATTCCAAGAGCTTTCGTGGCTGTTACTTATTAATGTGAGACGTCACAAAAGTGCTGGGAATTTCACTATTTTTTTCACAGTGGTTATTTTGCATATTGTGATATTATATCAGTGTGTATACACTGGAGATACTGTGCAAATATCGTGAACAAGTGATACAAGATGCAAAACAGCAATGGGAGAGTTGAATGATAGCTCTAGGCCTTTTGTGTTGCAATCTACACATTATCAGGATTTTGCAATGGTCTTCTATCTACATTCAGTTTCCACTGAGACTGACTCGAGGACAGTGGATATCAGAAAAATAATTGTCTTGTATTGATGAAGAATGAGACACTTGGGCAGCATTTGGGAATCATTATTGTTGACACGTTTTGCCAGCCGGTGACTTCTTCAGTCTAATACAGAGAAGAACGGTGGAGTTTGAAGTAATCAGTCCCTCAGTCTGGGAGTAGATGTGTTCAGTCCATCAGTCTTGAGAAAAGTACTTTTCTCAAGACTGAAGACACCAACTCCAGACTGAGGGACTGATTACCTCAAACTCGTCCTCATTTTCCACCGTTCTTCTTTGTATTGGACCAAAGAAGCCACTGGCTGGCAAAATGTGTCATCAATAATGATTCCCAAATATTACACAAGTGTCTCACTCTTCAACCTGTCGGTTTTTTTAAATCATTTAGATGACGTCTTGTGTCTGTACATTGTGTTGTAACTCACCAAGAAGAACTGTAACAATGGGACATGTCTTGTCTGTACATTGTGTTGTAAATCTCCAAGAAGAACTGTAACAATGGGTTAATATATGTATTGTTTTTTTTGTATGTAATATACACAGTATGTAGTAAGTTGTATGTTTATCTTCTTGAGTAGCAGTACCAAAGCCAAAGATTAAACATTCACGGGTGTTTTAATGTTTTTTTTTATATTGTTTGAATTGTGTTCAACAAACACTTGACTCAACTTTAAGTTGATTGAATTATCTTGGTGGAAAAAAAATATGGAAATTGCTTAATAAATCAATGGATAAATTGAGTAAATGTTTAGTAATATTTAGATGAACTATTATGTTTAAGGAAGTGAAGAGACCAAGTTTTATGTTGTATATCCCACATCTTCCCAGTATCTAAATGTTTTCTTGTGGAAACGATCTTAGATTACATTATTTTTACACTTATCTGTTCTCATGGTCTGACCGTCAGGCCGCTGAATGATAAACGAAACATGTTTGTTAATGTCTTGCTTCCACAGGTTCTCAATCGACGAACTGACTGCTCATGTCCACCTGGCCGCACTGGTAACCCTCATGTCAACTGCTATGAAAGTAAGTATTTACACCACACTCATGTCTTCCTTTCCTCACCTACCATGATATACAAACCTAGGTGTATATCTCCAAGTGTATATAAACAGTGAGAATCTATTTTAATCACTGTTTTAGGGATTAAAATATTCTTAACTGGTGGTGTGTGAGTTTCATGCAGCCTTCATGACTGTCGTTCCCTCGGCTATCATCACTGTTATGAAGAATCCTTAGAATTATCAAGTACAACGAAATCACATTTTGCCTCCACTCATATGCTTTTTGTTACGGCCCAGCCTCTTACTCAGTATTTCACTCTTGCTGAGACAGTCGAAAAAGTGACCGTTACACAAGCATGTTTACAGTGATTATCTGATCTTGGTGCACCACAGTGTGTAACACAAAACCTTGGTGTACCATAGTGTATAACACAAGACCTTGGTGTACCACAGTGTATAACACAAGACCTTGGTGTACCACAGTGTGTAACACAAAACCTTGGTGTACTATAGTGTATAACACAAGACCTTGGTGTACCATAGTATGTAACACAAGACCTTGGTGTACCACATTGTGTAACACAAGACCTTGGTGTACCACAGTGTGTAACACAAAACCTTGGTGTACTATAGTGTATAACACAAGACCTTGGTGTACCACAGTGTGTAACACAAGACCTTGGTGTATCATAGTGTATAACACAAGACCTTGGTGTACCATAGTATGTAACACAAGACCTTGGTGTACCACAGTGTGTAACACAAGACCTTGGTGTACCACAGTGTGTAACACAAGACCTTGGTGTATCATAGTGTATAACACAAGACCTTGGTGTACCACACTGTATAACACAAGACCTTGGTGTACCACAGTGTGTAACACAAGACCTTGGTGTACCATAGTGTATAACACAAGACCTTGGTGTACCACAGTGTGTAACACAAGACCTTGGTGTACCACAGTGTATAACACAAGACCTTGGTGTACCACAGTGTGCAACACAAGACCTTGGTGTACCACACTGTATAACACAAGACCTTGGTGTACCACACTGTATAATGCAAGACCTTGGTGTACCACAGTGTGCAACACAAGACCTTGGTGTACCACACTGTATAACACAAGACCTTGGTGTACCACAGTGTGCAACACAAGACCTTGGTGTACCACAGTGTATAACACAAGACCTTGGTGTACCACAGTGTGCAACACAAGACCTTGGTGTACCACAGTGTATAACACAAGACCTTGGTATCTTGTAGTGCATGTTCCCTCAGCACCACCCATCATCCACCCTCACTGATCTTGAGTTTCTCAAAGACTAGTATTGTCTATGTTATCATACCTCACTGTATCACTAACCTGTAATTTATCATGTACTATAACTGTATGATTGGCTGTAACATCATAGCTTATTGTATGCTTATTGTTTTGTTCGATGCCACTGTAGGATTGGCTGTAGCATCACAACTTACTGATTGCTTAGTTATAACACCTGATGCTTGTTACTTAAAGATGGCTTGTTAACACCTCACCACTGTCTTGTGTAGTCTAGCTGGTGTGAGTACAATACATTGACTCTTGTACACACTGCTGTGATGTTCTGTAAGCTCAGTCCACATGTACACCACACATTGGCAGGCTTTTAATACTGCAACCAGGTGATGTGTGGAAGTGTACACATTCAGTATTATTTGTTCTTAAGCAGTAGTATTTATGAATAGGAAGTGCTGTTGAGGCAAGAATGACAGTAAAATCATTACTGCCACAGACTGCTTTTATCTGTGTGACACAGAATGGTTACTTACGGTTCTTGCTGCTACTACACCTCATAAACTCTAGTTGCTATTCTTGCTATAGTAAAAAAAAGGATTTAAAATAAAATAAAAGTCATTATATTAAAAATCTCATATTGTAAAATATGATAGTGTCTCTACATGGTATTGAACAGCACTTGAATGAGGACTGAGTATTGTGAGCGCAGGTACTGTCCCGGCCCGGGTCTTTTCCATAGTGCAGTGCTGCCCTCACAGCTGACTGTCCTCAGCAGTGTGTATGAGTCTCTTTGTGCTCCCCATAAAGTAATTTGATAATTTTAACATTAACGGTAATTTTGAGCAACATCTTTTAATGTCTGTATGTCAAAGGTATTGATCAGTCCTTCGACAAAGGTCTGGTGATACCTACAAGATGTGGAAAAAGGCTCTTCGTACAATTCAGGACATTTATTAGAGGAAACGTTATGCCACTCGTGGCTTCTTTAGTCCTCTAATAGATGTTCTAAATTATTTATAAATGTCTTTTCCCACAAAGGTGGTAGTATATATGTTTATTAGCGAAGTGACGGCTGCTCCAAGTTACTCTCAGTAATAGTTAGCAAAACTGGACTAACTGGCAAACCTAACCCATAACCCCAAAACCCCACCCTATAGCTGCACCTCGGCCACCTCGCAAGTGTGAAATAGACATCGACTGTTTTAAAATCGACTCGTGTTTGGATTTCCATTGCCAAAATCCATGCTTGGTGGCCAATCCCTGCCTGGACTCCGCTGTGTGTAAACCCTACCAGCACCGGCCCTATTGTCTGTGCCCTAACAACACCACGGGCGACCCTTGGGTAGGCTGTATACCAGGTATGTTGCAGGGCTTCCTGCCTTTATCGAAGTGTGTTCCATCTTCCCACACACACAGATGTGTCCTATCAGTCTTGTCTGTGCATGGCCCCAGTAGAGTAGCATGCTCTCACAGGCACCTCTCCCCACCCTCTGTTGCCTTTGTGTCTTAGAACTTTTGTTCCAAAAGTCGTGGTTTATATATGTACACTCTTGATTCAGATATGACTGCACAAAGAAAACTTCAATGTTTGCTTGTGTCATTTAGGTTTTGCATGACTCTTCATAACACAAAATGCTTCTTTACTTTGATAATAAGAGTATCTATACATGGGTTAAACCTGGCTGAGTGTAAGTTATTTATGAGGCCCTGTTAGTGGTTCAAGTGACACAGGAACATCAGGAGCTAAAGTATACCTGGAGAGGGTTTCGGGGGTCAATGCCTCCGCAGCATGGTGAACACATGACTAGGATACATGCATACATACAATCCCTTCTTTATTTACCACATAATGAGGTAAGTCTGCAAAGGCAAGATTCTTGGTGTGCTAATAGTCATGAGTAGTACAGTAATATGCATGAAGGGTAGTAAAAACTAACTTAAACTGATTTGTACCAATTATATATATATATATATATATATATATATATATTATATCCCTACAGGGTTAGCGCTCCCATGAATGTAATAAAATGTGATCTTGTTGTTACCCCGTCATGCATGGGTACAGTTTTCAGGTTTTTCTCCCTGTTGCTCCCCTGGCTGACCCTGCAGAACTGACTGCCTCATAGATGATGACTGCAGCAAGGATTTATCCTGTGCCCGATCAACGCTGTGTCAATCCTTGTGTTAGAGAAAATCCATGTGATAAGAATGCTTTCTGTTAACACGCGACCACCGTTCATGTCTGCAGATTCCCGAAGGGATTCATTGGTGACCCTCAGATTGAGTAGTGTCAGCCTTGTGAGTCTTTTCAGTACTTGTTATTTTAATGTATTGGTGGCTTCCTTGGTTCGTTGGGCATGTTGCTGGAACATCTTCAATATCTTTAACCTTGAGATATTGTTGTTAAATGAGTTTATTTGACAATTTTTTTGAGTTGTTTTTAAGAGTCACAATAACTGTTTACCTTTTTTGTTATTAAGGTCTTCAGTCACCTTGGATTATCAAACTAGTCATATTCTGGAAGTGGTAAGCCATAAAGGTTATAGAGCACTAACATTTTCTTATTAGAAACAGCAGCCAGGAAGGCGGACACAGCAAGCCATGGTGCCCTGGAGGGTGAGGCATGGAGTATATCAACCAGATGCCTGCTCTACAAACACACTGCCCTCTACAACACAATGTCCCTACTACACTGCCCTCTACAACACTACTGTCCCCTCTACTACACTGCCTCTAAAAAACTCTGTCCTTACATTACACTTGCCCTCTACAAACACATGTCACTACTACACTGCCTCTACAACAACACTGACCTCTTACAAACACATTTGCCCTCTACCAACCACACTGCCCTCTACAACACACTGTCCTCTACTACACTGCCCTCTACACACACTGTCCACTACTACACTGCCCTTACAACTACATTGCCCTCTACAACCCTGCCCTCTACACACACACTGTACACTATACACTGCCCTCTAAAACACACTCGTCCCTCTACAACACACTGCCCTCTACAACACCCACTGTCCTCTACAACACACTGCCCTCTACAACAACATTGCCCTCTACAACCACACTGCCCTCTACAACACACTGTCCTCTACTACACTTGCCTCTACAACACATTGACCTCTACAACACACTGCCACTCTACAACACCACTGTCCTCTACAACCACTGCCCTCTACAACACTATTGCCCTAATACCAACACACTGTCCTCTACAAACACACTGTCCTCTTACTACACTGCCCTCTACAACACACTGTCACTTTACACTGCCCTCTACAAACACATGCCCCTCTACAACACATTGCCCTCTACAACACCACTGTCCTCTACAACACAATGTCCTCTATACACTGCCTCTACCAACACACTGTCCACTACTACACTGCCCTCTACAACACACTGCCCTCTACAACACATTTGCCCTCTACAAACACCACTGTCCTCTACTACCACTGCCCTCTTACAAACACTCGTCCACTACTACCACTGCCCTCCCTAAACACATGCCCCCTCTACAACCACACTGTCCACTACTACACTGCCCTCTACAACACACCTGACCCTCTACAACAAACTGTGTCACTACTACACTGCCCTTACAACACACTGTCCTCTACAAAAACACACTGACCTCTACAAACACTGTCCTCTACAACACCACTGCCTCTACACACCACATTGCCCTCTACAACACACTGCCTCTACAACACACTGTCCTCAATACACTGCCTCTACAACACACTGTCCACTACTACACTGCCTTCTACATCACATGTCCTTACAACAAACTGCCATCTACAACACATTGGCCCT